TGGAACCGGCAAAACACGTCGAGAATATCTGGTTAAATGGGAAGGCTATGACTCCAGTCATAACACCTATGAACCGGAAGATTCCCTGCGTCAGTCCGTTCCCTTGGCCGAAGCTATTGACGACTATGAACGACGGTTGGCGGCAAAGTCCGGGCAATCTACACCAAAAAGGAAAGTGGTCCTGACCACCCCTCCTTCGGTAGCACCCCGGAACAGCACCCCAGAACAACCGAAACGGAAAGCACCTGCTCGCAAGAAAAGGTGACGCTCCCGGGACGGTTCGCTTCTGAGGGGGAGGGATGTAGCAAGCTACATTTACCTTAGAATATCTTTAAGCTATTAAAGCTTAATCACAGTAACGGTACGGTCCCGTATTTACGAACCATACTCGTTAACTGTACGAACTCACTTTCTGGTACGCTATCACAACCTAGCGTACGACACCAAGACTCCAGGAATGGAGATGGCGGCAGGTGGGCCGCATTTAAGCCACCCAGGTGAAGTGCTTCGGCCAGACACTTAACGTATCACTATACTAGTGTTCAGGGTTCAAGACCTTGCTGTCACCGTTCTCGACGTATGTCTTCGAATCCCGACTTCCCTTGTCTCTTCTCACGCCTAACGCTGGGTCGCCAATCGTGGACGAGACCCTCTACTTCCGCTAAAACAGCTAAGGTAAGAGACGGCTGTTACAGATGGGATGAGTCTGGGTATTGTATGGTGGTGCACAGTGGTCTTGTCTAGGGCCTTTGGAATGATGTGTGCTGGTTGTTGCTTGCATGGATGCAGGCGCCGGATGGTGTGGAGGAGAAGGGGTTAGTTGGAGAGCAGCCTCGTTTCCAGCTGCACCCCATTGAACTTCTGTGTTCTGGTTTGATGCCAAGCAGCCAGAAATGGTTAGTGCATGTGTCTGTTTCCAGCATATGATGCGAGAGGAACTGTTGTATCCTGTATGCTTATTGTTAAGCTTGAGCTCTAGGCTTGGTTGCCTAATGGTCATATGCCAGTCTGTTCAGTTCTAACACTTGTAACACCAGGCAAAGAGTAATCAGCTGGGAGATGCCAGGGGAGCTGATCCCTCTTACATTCCTCCCCCCCTCAAGCGAACATCCTCGGGCGCCCCCTGGCATATCCCGTAGGATTTTGGTTGTTTGAGATCCCGTAGGATTGTGTATTTGAGTGTTATTGACATTTCGTCAGTCCCCATCCAAGATGGAGGACTTTGTCAGCTGGGAGATGCCAGGGGAGCTGATCCCTCTTACAACACTGTTGTTATTAATTAATACCTGTTTGTATCCACCGTTGTTGATAACAGGTTTAACTAATACTGATATTAGTATTCTGGTGGCTTACGACTACTGCTAGTTGAGTTTGCCGTCCAAATGCCGCAGCAGTGCAGAAGTCCATACTGGTGTATGGGTGGAGGCTTTCCCTGCATAAAGCTGGAACCTGTGTTCCTGCTTCACTGGGCGAGAGTAGTTCCTGTGAACTATGGCCAACTGAACATCACACAAGTGGCCCAAGTGGATGCTACAATGACTATTTATTCTTTACACTTGTCTCAACCTGTATCTTTCGATACCACCATCCATGGTTCTGTCATCTTAAGCATACTACAGGAACCCAGCAAAGGCCCCATGTTCTTCATTATTAAGGCTGAATACGACCTTGCTCCATGGAAGCCCTATCCTGGAGGGCTGCCAGAGAGCAGCTTCTTGCAGAGCTACAAGCAGTGGTGGACGGAAACCTTCTGCACCATGGGCAGGGGCTGCAGGACAGGGTGAGAGCTTGCGGACGTCCCAGCCGGGCGCCAGTGGTGCCTCCTCGCCCCTGAAGGGCCCCCGGCAGGGGCCAAGGGAAAGTGCCTCAGGCTACCACAACCTTGTCCACTCATAGCCTCTGGGGATCAGTTGTTTTTCCAAACACGCCACGCCATGCCAGCACATGCCGCCCAGATTCATTTGGAAACCACATCATGGACACAATATCCGAATGTGTCAGAATGTCTCGATGAGGGGGTTTGGGCGGGGATGCATTTGCAATAGGTCCAAAGCATGATATTCACATCGGCTGCATGCAATGCAAGTATGGGATATGTTTAGACCCTTCAGGACAGGGTGCAGAGTCGTCCAGCTGTGGAGGGCTGGAGACAAGTGCCGTGGGGGACTCTGTTTCACGTCTTACACAAAAGGTACATAGTGGAGGAATGCGTGTTTTTGTGGGCAGGAATGCAGTTTTGTCTTCTCGCACTTATGTTGTACCTTGTTTTGCCCCACACGCACACACACCACCCTGGCATGCAAGCGTGATTTTTTTGTGTGCACGCAGCTGCTGCCGTGTGTGTGCATGTGAATTGAATTGGATTGAATTGTTACAGAGTGGGAGGCTTCTGGGCCATTTGAGCACATTGACATTTCTACAATTTATCATACCATACAGCACTTTCCACCATTACCACACTGTACTACGCCATACAAACTGGAAGTCCAAGGGTGTGTGCATGTGCATGAGCACATGTGTTAGAACTGTATATCTGTTGTGGCGGCCCGTGGGCTTCTCTATCCACCCCGACGACACTCTGTGTGGCGCTGTGCTTCCCATATGCTAACTTTAGCATGTGTGGAACGATGCAGAACTCTAGGTATGATGGAGGCGCAAAATAAAGCTGTCACACGAATGAATGATGATGACATGAGCAACTCCACAAACAAAAGTGAGCAATGTACAGTGTCCATTTTTGGAGGACATGACCTGGTGTATGGTCCCCCTACTCTAAGCACAGCACGACAGGCAGGGGCGGCTAATGTCCGTACATAGCATATCGAACAACAGTAAAACACCGCCTGGCATACTGCATATCAAACTTAGGGTTTTAGGGAGTACACACGGGGGGAAAGAATGGGCTATTGCAGCGAAGCAACGCCCCAGATGAGTGCTAAAAACGGTGCATTAGAACATGCATATTTGAAGCTTAGCCTAACGTTGTCCTTGGCCTCCGACTGCAACCACTAACCTCCAGAGCGTGGCTTGGAGCTTTTCGAGTCGAGGAACGTACGTCATACATCGCTACAAGGTGTGTATGGATAGGGAGGGTCGGGGAATTGGGGCTGGAAGGGTTGGGAGGGTCGTGGCACGGGAGTTGGCGGGGTATGGGGGTTAGGGAGGGTCGGGGAATAGGGGTTGGGAGGGTTGGGAGGGTCGGGGCACTGGGGTTGGCGGGGTATGGGGGATAGGGAGGGTCGGGGAACGGGGTTGGGAGGGTCGGGAGGGTCGTGGCACGGGGGTTGGCGGGGTATGGGGGTTAGGGAGGGTCGGGGAACGGGGTTGGGAGGGT